TCCCTATCTGGATTATCTATTAATTAATCCCTAAAACTTTCAGATATTATTTCTATTTGATCAAATTTTCCAAAAACAAAAGAAAAGATTTAAAAATTGTTAATTTTACAGGAAAATGCAATTGCCAGATGTCTTACAGTCTCTCAACAGTGATACTAAAAGATGTATCATGGAATGGGCGAATATGGTTCGGGCAAAACACAGTTCAGATGATGTTGACAGCGATGATGATGATATAACATATTTTGGAGACCCTCTTCTCATAATTTAATGGAATGAAACAGGACTTATTCAACGAAATATTCAAAAAAATACTGTGGTGAATTGTATGTATATAAATTATTGTAATTTATATTAATTGAGAAGACTTTTAACAAATAATATTTTGTTCTACAGATATTCATACATTTCAAGGTTGTAATCCTTTTTTAGGTGCTGCTGGTCAACCTCCATCGGTTTCTCTTTTCTATATTGTTGATACACCAAATATTGAGGCTCAACAAATCATCAGCAACATTATTTCTGGATTGCATCGAACTTATTTACAAAGAAATGTACCTTCTTTAGGAAGAGTCTATAGCATATATGCAGATCGAAAAGATAAATTTAAAGTTACTGAATTTTCAACCGTTTTTCAATGTAATTGGCGTATAAATTTTAATATTGCATATAAATTTGTAAGCGCAACATTGTTTATGTGAAATCATAAAATTTTTCAACAATATGATCTTTTTTTATTATCGTATGTACTATAATATTAGGCAAGCTTTTTCGTCTCATTCTACTATTCAGTTTAAAAGAAAATTAAGTGCGAATATTCATTTTACAAATGTATTACTGCATTACAAATCAATGATATAAAAAGGCTGTTTTTATTTATAATTATGTAGAATATTCACTGAGCTTTATAAAAAAGCTTATGTCAAAAAAGTGAAATAAATTATTTTTGACACCAAATCAAAATTTTGCAAAAATTTGTATAATTTAATATTTTTGCTTAAATACTTACAAAACTAAATAGCTGTGTGACGTTATCGCGTGAATCAGAATGGAAGAAATTGATAGTGGTTAGACTTGAATGTTTAATATGATAAAGAAATGTGTAGTTTATTATTAATTCAAATTGTTATATAAGAGAAAAGAATTAAATAATTAGAGTAGCGTGACGCCGCGCAGGACCAGCATGATCATGTATAATATGTAAATTCAGACTGTTTTAAAGTTATTTATAAAGGATTTTAATGCTTAATAAACAAATTAAATTGGAAATATAACGTATTGATGTATACCGTACAGTGCTGCATACAGTACCCCGGGTATTTTAC